CGGTCCGGAGATTTCTGCGATTGGGTGATTTTTAGAGGGTTACTTTGTCCGCTCGTTTTCTTAAAAAAAAACACTTTAAATAGGAACTTGATATTTTCAACAATGATAGAGCAATGTTCATAAATATGTACTAGGTAGTTCATTTTTCCCGGAAGTGCCGCACTTTGATGCTCCGAAAATAGTCTTATTGAGAATATCAAAATTTTTAGCATTTTTTCAAGAATATCTCTTTACTTGTAAATATTTTCTTAAAACATATAGAACAAAAGTTGTGCATAATGGCAAGCTCTTTTATTGATATCAACAATTAGGGGCTGACCCCTAAAATAAGGGATCTACAGGGGCTGAAAGTGTTTTCTCAACATCTCCAAAACTATTGAGAATTTGTGATACATCAAAGAAGCAAAATTGTTCAAAATGACAAGTAGAAGTGAATAAGATTGTCAAAAGTCGTCAAATAACGTCACTTCCGGCCAAAATAGAAGTAGTCAGAAATGCATATTTTTGCCGTTTTCGACATGTTATTAGTTAATTTATGTAACCAGAAGCGTCCAACCAAATTTATCATCCTTCAACATCACTTCCGGTCAAACCGGATGTAGCCAGAAATAGCTTATTTTGCAGGTTTTGATGCAAAATTGTAATTTTAAAGTCAATGGAGACGTCTAAACTCATTCCTTTCTCTTGTTGACGTCACTTCCGGTCAAAACAGGACGGAAGACCTACTCGTTGCTTTGCAACGAGCTTTGCTCTAGTTCTTATTATTCTTTTTTCTCCTTACAAAATTTGTGCAGAAGATTTTCTCAGAGATGGCTCGTTCGATTTTATTCAAATTTTCAAAGAAGATGCGTTGACATCTGAAGTTAATTCCGGCAAGTCTGTTAAGGGATATTTACTTCCGGTCGAAAGTTATCGCCCATTTATCAAAATTCAGAGGACCTCCTTGTCTGCGATGGAACTCAAAAACGGCTTAAGGTAGAGCGCTGAAATTTTCAGTGATGATAGAGGACATGTTGCCATTTTGCACCTGGGTTTAGATATTTTCCGGAAGTGCCTAGTACGGAAGCTCGGTAGGGGTCGAAATTTAGGACACGAATCATGAGTGAATTTTTGAGACATTTTGTATCATATCTTTTAAAGTATAATTATTTTGTAAAAACATACTGAACAATATTTGTGCAGAATAACAAGATCTTTAATATGATATCAAGAAAAAAGGGCTGAATTATCATATAAGGGGCCGAGAGGGGCCAAAAGTATTAAATCAATAACTCTTTAACGATCAATATTTTGGCATACATTACTGAAATAAAAATGTTTATCTTAACAATTTACAACTCCAGTACCGACCAGACACAACCTAACAGAAAGCGAACCCAGAGCGCACCCCGGGTTCGCTTTCTGGGTTCGCTTGGGGTTCACTTGGGGTTCGCTATAGCGGTCCCCGAGCGAACCCGGAGCGGACCCCGAGCGAACCCGCAGCGGACCTAGAGCGAACCCAGAAAGCGAACCCAAAATTCAGTAGCGAACCCAGAAAGCGAACGCGCGTTCGGTGTTGCGTAACGGAGTTGTCAATCAGGATTAGCGATAACACGTGTTAACCAATCAGCGCCTCGACTAATCCAGTTTGTTATTCGATGTAAATAAAACATTGTACAAGCAAAGTATATTAATGTAAAGTGTGAAACTGTTATTAACATGATTAAAAGAATTATTTATATCTTAATTATCCAGGTAGTATGTTATTTTTACACATTTATTTTCTGTATTTTTTATTTTTAAAATCCATTAACATTTCGTAAAAAGGTACTTTCGTGTATAAAAGAAAAAGGGAAATAATGGTTATTGCAATTGTTACTAAAAAATGAAAAAAGAAAAGGTTTTTGACAAATCAATGCATTTCATAATTTCAAGTTACTGTACAAGATTATGTATAATTATGTACATGTACGTGCTTTTATTCAATTACTTTATAATTCTAATTTCCATTTCGTCTAAATCCAGATCAACATTAAAATTATTGATCTTCTTAATTGAAAATGAAAAAAAAAATTAAATGTACATGTATGTCCGATCGTAAACAACTATGGTATTATTTTGATTTATCTTCTACAAGAAAAATAATTTAAAGCTTTAATAAGCTTGTTTGTTTGTTTTTTTAACTGAAATAAAGGGGGGGAAAATGAAGCGCGATTTACATAATTGAACGAACTAATTATCGGTAGTAAATAAGCAATATAGTAAGTCGTACAGTATTGTATTCTTTAAAAATAGCGTAACTTTTATAATAAAGCCTATTTAGATATTTAACGATTTTTTTCTCTGATGTTTATTATATTAACTGCTAATTGTGGTCTTGATTGTTTTATATCGATACATCAAAAATGTACATGAAAAAAAAATTCCCAATACTTACATTTGAATATTTAGTCGGCAAACGTACACGATATGATTGTCGGGGTTACTTTTAATCCCTGATGCTAATTATTATTTTTTTTAATATAATTTCGGCAAATGAAGGAATAAAAAATGGCTGATTTTTGAAATTCATAAATGGAAAGATGGATACAGTTTTGAATCATTTTAGGCCATTTTTAATTAAAAATCTTATACCCGCTTACTGCATATAATAAAATCCAATTAAATCAAAACTCACGGCCCATCTATATCATGTGATAGAACAAGCAGCATTCAATCATAAATTACATCTTTAAGTATCAAAAAGATTAATTAAAAAAAACAATTTTCCAAAGTCGGAGAATTACATAAATAATTATTTGTAATCTAAAATAAATACATGTATTAAGTCTTATTTACATGTACATGTAGTTTCAAAAATATCCATTTCTAAATATATTTTTTTTTTTCAGTTTTCCAAAGTCGATGAATTTCACCAATAATTATTTTTAATCTAAAATATCTATTAATTAAGCCTTAAGTTATTTCGTTCTAAAAAATATTCACTCCTATATACCTTTAACTATTTTGCGTAAAAAATAGCGGGTTTGCATTAACAATCATGAATGGTAGTGTAACGTGAAGAATCGTGTACGTGAAGGATCGTTCGTGTAACAGGTTTAATCGTGCGGAATCGTTTGTGTTGTGTTTTCAACAATAACGTTGCAGCCGCTGTACATGCTTATGTATCGATCGCCACAAAAACAATAATGATCGATTTCACTACTGTATTTGGAATATACAAGGGGCGGGGCTTACTCGCGACAAGATTAAAGCGTGGTCCGCTTCACGCTTGAGTGCGTAAAGCGAACCCAGAAAGCGAACGCCGGGTTCGCTCTAGCGGACCCAGAGCTGACCCCGAGCGAACGCAGAGCGCACCCAAAATTTCTGAAAGCGGACCCGTAGCGGACCCCGAGCGAACCCAGAAAGCGAACCCGGGGTGCGCTTAGGGTTCGCTCTGGTGTTAGGTTGTGTCTGGTCGGCACTGTATACATTATAATATGTATGTCATATGTTACATAATTAGGGGACATAAGGGGCCAGAATGCCAAATCTTTGGCACTCTATATCTCGAAAGCGGGAAATATTTTGATAAGCAATATTGAATAAAAGATGTTCAAAATAATGTTTTAAACAATATTTAACCTTTCAATTTTTGCTAAACGTCCCCATTACTGAGTTGTAGGGCTGGCCCCTAAATATATCGTTTGCATATAGCCCGGAAACGAAAAAGAATTTCTGAATAGTTGTTGAACAAAAAGTGTTCAAAATCATAAGAGCTTTAAAGTGGTATGAAGAAAAAGGGGCTGGCTCCTCAAAATAGGGGCTGAGAGGGGCCGAAATTCTTTCATCAATAACTATTTAATGATCAATATTTTGCAATATATTACTGAAGCGAAATAGTTTATCCTCACACTCTTTAACGATATAACATGGTGTTTACATCATATCTTATGCAATAAGGGGTAATTAGGGGTCAGATTGTATCATCTTCGGCGCAATAAATCTTGAAAAGGAAGAATATTTTGATAATATTTTGATAATATTTTAGCAAAAGACGTTCAAAATAATATTCTTAATAATATGCGATCATTCAATTTTTGCTAGACGTCACCATTTAGGGCCGGCCCTTAATATTTCTCTTGCATATATCTCGGAAACGAAAAAGAATTTCTGAAAAGTTGTTGAACAGAAAGAGTTAAAAATCATGAGAGCTTTAAGACGATATCAAGAAAAAGGGGCTGACCACACATATCAGGTGCCAAAACGGGCCGGAAGTGTTTAATCTATAATTTTTTAATGATAAATATTTTGTTACACATTACTGAAGGAAATTTGTTTGTCTTAACAATTTATGTATATAACTATTTTTTAACGAAAATCTCAGTCAAATTCTTATCTCTTCTTATCGAAAATCGGACGGAAGACCCACTCGTTGCTCGCAACGAGATCGCATCTAGGTTTTTTTTTTTTTTAATAATTTTTAAACGTTATTTAATAGTAAGACTTTATGCAAAATCTCTGGCCGGTCTACAATCAAACACCTTTGGCTATTTGAAAGTGGAATATATATGTCTTTAAGGAAATCATCCTTGGCTATTTGAATCCGATGTTATATACTGTTTATTACGTAACTGCCGTCAAAAGGATATTACTCTTGAAGAACAGCAATGGCTACGGAATTTATTTATAGAAAACGATTTTAATAATGTCTGGGAAGAAGTATAAGTATATAATGTGTACGTTTATCATAAGAAGTCCTTCTACGATTGACATTTATTACTTATGGTGGCCTAAATTAATGAAAAAAACCTTTAAAAATATTCAGTAAAAATTGATATTTTATTTAACACGCATTAACAAGTAAACCTGAGATAAAAGAATGTTTGCGTTTCAGATTTCTGCTATTCAACTAATTGAAATACCTTCTACAATAGTCCCTAAACATTGATACAATTGATACGTATTAAAATGTAAACTAGAGATAAAGGACTGTTTGTGTTTCAGATTTCTGCTATTTAACTAACTTATGATACATCGGAATGCATCACATACCTCGACTGTCAGAAGCGATTTACGTAGGACTGTGTCGTAAAGTAGGGAGTCTAACAGAAGTGAGATTTAGGAGGGAAGTGATGGACACTAAGGAGATGGTGTGTAAACCTGTGTGCATCATGCGGGGATTGGACAAAATGAATAGTGGGAGTAGGCGTGAGGGATTCAGACTACCTGATTCAGATTTAGATGTCATGTATTGGTATCCTGACCACAAGGTTATATGTGATCTCTCACAGATCAGTTTCTACCGTATCCCACAACACACCGTGATTCTGATGGATTGTGACGACTTATCACCAGGATTTACCAGGCTTAATCTTATGACTCCATCAACAGATCCACTAATCAGATCCTCCTGTATAATGAGCAATAACGAAGTTTTTATATCTAGTGTCTTATTTCGCGAGAACCATTTGCGATTAACGAAGTACAACCCTATCATCTCTATCATGACCACCTCTCCTTGGCCTCATGGTCCTTGTTCTACAATAATACTACAAGACGAAACAGAAATAGACAATGCATACTGTTTGCAGTCACAGCAATGGCCGACAGGCGCTATACCATGGATACAGCGATGTCGACAACAAGATTGGCCATCTGAAAATATTGTGTTAGATATATTAAGCGGAGGATTCCATGTTGTTCCCATCGGTAGCACACCTGAAAATGGAGAAGAATGGAGAATCTCATTCTCGCAAGCAGAACAAAAAATTGTTTATTCAATGAACCACTGTCAGTTTTTATGTTATGGTCTCTTTAAAATCTTTCTTAAAGAGGTAATTAATTTTCAGAACGTTACACCAGTTCTTTCTTCATATTTCATAAAAACAAATCTATTTTGGGTAATTCAGAATAAGAAGTTTTTGACTTGGACACCAGATAACTTGTTGCCTTGTTTCTGGGAATGCTTTAAACTTTTGATACACTGGGTACATACTGGAGAATGTCCAAACTTTTTTATTCCTCAGAACAATATGTTTCGACTGAGAGTCATCGGAGTTGTCCAAACTTCATTGTTCAGTAAGTTATATGATTTGTATTGTAAAGGGATATCATGTCTGCTATTAAGTCAAACCTTGAGACCTTACCTCAGTAAAGCCATATTAAACAGAGCATTGACAGTCCGTACAGAGGAAAACAGTATCATATCTAGCACTGCGTTAGATTATAGCTTTTTTACAGAATTGGACTTGAACGGGTGTATTTTTTATTTTGAGGAGTTCTACGTTTTCATGAAACAAATAGAGGGTGTTATGAGGGGAAAGTTGACACAATATAAGGTTGCTGTATTACAAAGGATGACATCAAATTTGTTACGGGACTCTACCAACTTGATACAGGAAGGTATATATCCCAATAAAAATTATAATAAGGTGTATTACAAAGCAGCTAGTAAAGTATATGTATTGTTGAAGCTGTCATGTTCATTTGGTTTCGCATCCGACATTCTGTATCTTGCTATGTACTTATACAGAACACGTAGATATGAACATTCACTCAGTTGTTTACATACAGCACAGAATAGAATACCATTGCCATATAATATACATACTGGTGAAGTGAATGTAGATGTATACAGACTCTACTTGTTTGGGATGTCTTTCAGGAAGCGACAATGGTAAGAATGAACACACCTAAACATGAGGTGATGAAATTTATTTTTATGTCAGTGTAACTGTTTACAGATCATATTTAATTTTCTAGAAGGACTTGTGTAATTATCCATTGATGTTCATTATTTCGATCTTCTATTTTCAGTTGGTTACATTTTTAATATTTGCATGCTCTTGTACATGTTGATCTATCAACGATATTGTAAATTGTTATTTTTTTAAGTTTTTTAAAAAAAATAAACTGTTGATTTTAACTTGTCTTATGATGATGCACAAGATGAAGAAGGAAAGGACGGTTCATAGTGTATCATGCCTCAATGCCAAACTTTCTTAAATGTCTGTCACAGATATTTTTTGTCGTTTATAGTTGAAAAATATTTAAATATCTAACGTTAATTTTAGATTACCTGTGTCACTTAGGTGACATATTGCGACTTTTTTTTAAAATTCAATCTTATTTCTATTTGTTGACATCGTGCGTCGATTTATTGTACATAGATTGTGACCTATTGAACATTTTTCAGTTTTTTTTACCACTGAACCAATACTAGTATCAACAAAAATTAGTATAGAGCATTCATGGTAAAAGAGGACAAAAAATTTGAATATTTGACGTTTCTGTCTCCCTTGGGCCTGAGGGGCTGGGAAAAACCACCCATGAAAAATTTATGCAATCTTGAACAATCTTCTTCTTTATTCATGGATATCATGCAATCAAATTTTTAGCAAGGATATGATAAGCAAATGAGCCCTCTACTAAAATTGTAACATTCATGGCCTCTGAGTTTAGGGCTCAGACTCCAAAGCTGGACTTTCCTTGTTCAAATCGTAGTCTCCAAGATCAGCGTTCAGGCCCAGAAGTGGGGCTTAGTTGGAAAATATGCATTATATCTTTATTAAAATCGTCTTCTCTACACATGTTTATCTAGCACTCAAACTGATTACATGATTGTAATTTGTACTCGACCTTTTACCAAAATTGATTAATTCATGACCACTGTGTTCTTCATTTGTAAAGTACTTCTCGTGGAAAAATAGATTTTGGGATGACTATGAGTGGATACCCTTTTACCAAAAAGAACTGACTTTATTTTAATAACGTACATGAAAATGGAGACCCATTTTTAAGAATTATCGTAATATCAACAAATGACATTTTTGCAATATCAGTGCTGCCAAAATATGACAGAAAAAAGCCGACTCGGTGCTTAACAATAATCAATCAATATCAGTACAAATTTTAGCTTCCTTTTGATATTGGGTATGGACAACTTTCTATTGCATTTTTGTACATGTAATGGTCAATTATACATATCGGTTTTCTGTTGAATCCCTCTAACTATAGTTATGTCCAATTGGATTGATAAATTAGTTTTATTTGTATTTTCCTCAACAATAATAGATATTTACCTGTATATAAAATAGAAAGCAGGTGATCAGATAAACCATCTCAAGCATCTATATAAGGACATGTAACCAAATTTGGTCTGAACTCTACCTAATCTTTTAAAATGTATGATGATTAATAACAATTAAAAAAAATGTGTAAAATGAGCATTGATTTTAATATATAATGCCCTGTGAAAAAACCAAGAAAACATTTCTTTCGCGAACATTAAACAAAGAACTTATAAGAAATTTCTTTTTAAAGAATTTATGTAATCTAAAGTAATCACAAGTAATCCTGGTTACATGATGGAAAAGTAATCAGATGTAATTGATTACTTTAAAAGATGGCTGTAATCAGCTTGTAAACGATCACTTTTAAATTTCAAAGTAATTATAATCTAATCGATTACTTTTGAAAGAAAATCGACCCCATCACTGGTTCCTACCCTCACTGCACATATTGTGGCGCCACAGTTACAATATACTTAAGGAATGTTTACTTTTAGTTTTGTAAATGTTATGGATGTGTAAATAACATAAACTTGTCTAGTATGCATGTCGTGAAGCACACAAATGAAATAGTACATTTCTAATTGAATATTAATATACGCGCGAGTTTACACGAAAATATTGTATTCAACACAATTTGAATTCACAGTCGTTCAGTAAAAGCAGAAATGTAAAAAAAAAATTATATGGTTTAACAAGGTTTTTCGTACAACGGGCAAAAACTCCGAAAGGGGTCAAAGTTCATAGTCGTTAGGTCAAATCTCTCCTTTATTTCTAATGACCATTTCGAGGAACAAAAAATATTTTCAGTAACCTCGAAACAAAAAATCAGCGGGAGAAAAAAGAATTATAAATAGAACAATTTCAATAGGTCTTTCCCCAGAAAGGTGTAAAGATCTAATAATAATAATAATAAACAGAAGCATTTAAGGAGGTCTTTCCAATGGAAGATGGTGATGACGATTTTATGAAATTGCATGTTCACTAAAAGAAAAATCAATCGTTTTGAACGCATAATTGTCCTTTTTTAGCTTCAATGAAGCATTCTCAATAAAATGCTAAATTTTAACATTCATCAGTAGACTGTGAAGATGGAGAATCGTGCAATCAAATACAAAAAAACTAGATGCTGTCATGAGACAGTAATACCAGTACTAAGGTGTTTGCCTCTAAATGCACACTCCTTCATATTGGGCTTACCAAAGAAAAAGTCAAAATAATTCTACAATTTACACAGTACATGTTTCGTCAAATCGAGCATAAAATGCTCAGGTGAGCATGTGACCTATGGGCCTCTTATAGGTATTTCCTTAATTAATTACCAGTCTGAAATAACAGAATTTAATTAATGATGTAAAATAGGTTTTGCTAAAAGGGGGGAAATAAATTTTGGGCCCATAATTGAACTTTTTAAATTTATTTTCTCAACAACAAATAATACTACTTTAGTACAAAGCGTTTTTAATGAATTTATCAAAATGTGCAAACTTTTTTTAGTATTTCATTAGGCAAAAACCTTCTTGAAAAGCCAAACCCAATCAATTTTGTCACCTCCCTCCCCCCCCCCCCCCCAACACACACACACACACAATTTGCCTGTTTCTGGAAATAGGCCTAGATGGCAAAGTTATGTTAAAACATCGTTTGTTATGATAATTTAAAATTCGTTCTTGTACTGTACATGTACGTGAACACCTTTTTGAAAATTTTTACATCACATTGGGCTTGCGTCACCCTACTAGTACTAGTTTTACCATTATTATTTTTAGATGATGCAATCATTACCGGCACATGTATATCAGTAGAAATTTATTCATTTTGTGTTTTAATTGGATTATATTTCGTGAAGTTGACAGGACCTATGATAGTCGGTAAGTACAAGTTTAAGTATAGATTGGGGTAAAATAAACCGAAATGCAAATGGTTAGGTTAAAGTTTAGAAAGGATCAAAGATCATCGGATGCCCCAATAGACGAATTTGACATTCTGAAGAGTTATCTCCCGTTGTCGATATTACATTCAGTCACATGCACAGATCCAGGAATTTTTCCGGGAAGGGGGGTGGGGGGTGGGGTGGGGGGAGGGGTTCCACACCTCAATCAAAAAAATTTCCAGCCCCCAATTTCCTGAGAAGCAAAAAAAAAAAAAAAAAAAAAAAAACTCCTCCCCCCCCCCACTTTTTTCGAAACATAACTTTTTACTTTTGAAAATGTTCTTGAAAGGGTTGTTTCCCCCACCCCTCCCCCACTTTTTGTTGCATGATAGTCAAATAAAGGTAATGTAGTAGTGTACATATAAAATTGGGGTACTGAAAGAAGTTGGAACCCACCCCACCCCACGAAATAGGACATTTGAGTATTTTGAGTTTTGAAAAAAAAATTTTTGGCTTGTCAAGTGACGGGTGGGGGTGGGGAGAGGGGGGTTTGGCTGCTCACTTATTAAGCTTCATATGTATAACTTTTCGTACCAACTTAACAGGGGTCCGTGTTTTCTAGGGGGGGGGGGGTCCAAGGTCACTTTTAGTTGCTTTCGTATATAGATTTCGTATATAGGTTCCGGACCCCCCACCCCCCTCTAGATCCGCGCATGTAAATATTTCATTACCAGTCTGATATTACCTAATAATGTAAATTCTGATAAAGAGATAATTTTTGAAAGATTTGTGTAAAAAATGGGGGTTTTCCACCTATAATTGGAACATCTTGAATTTATTGTCAAAACAACAAATATTATTAATTTAGTGCATAGCTTTTTTGATGAACTTAAAAAAAAATTAGATGCCAAAATTACAACTTGTGCAAATTTTTATCAGTATTTGGGTAGGACTCGGAGAACCCCTTTCCAAATCTTGACCCAATCAACTTTGTCAAAAATCAACCCCCACCCACGATTCACCCATTTTCCTGTCATATTTCGAATAGATTTAACACAAACTTATGAAAAAAAAAATGTATGTAATTATAATATAAATTTTACAAATGTACACCTTTTTGGAAAATTTCTAGACTCATGCGTGGAATTACGTCACACTGCAGGCACTACTTTTACCGTTATCATTATTGTTTTGCACATGGTGTGTGTTTTAAATGGATTTATTATTCTATCAAGTTAACAGTACCTATAACAGGCGGTAAGTACATTATGAATATATTATTTTAAACGTTCAGTATAGAACGGGGTTTGTTTGTTGTTTTACGTCCTTCTCGAGAATTTTTTCTCTCATATGGAGACGCCATCACCTATGGTCGACACTTAGGGCCATTGAACATTGAGGGATCTTTTTTGTGCCAACAACTAGGGACCTCGGTTTATACAGTCTCATCCGAAGAACTGGTCTCCACGTCCCGCAGAGGATTCGAACCCGCGACTTAAGGACCAACTCCTTACTCCACGACTCTAGAGCAGACGTTCTAACCACTGCACCACACGGGCGACTAGAACGGGGTAAAATAATCGGAAATGAAAATGGTTAGGGGCCTATAGGTGGAAAAGGGTCAAAGATCATTGGAATGCCACAATTATACAAATTATACAATGAGGCAAGTCCCTTGGGTCATTCCACTCGATCTTTGGAACCGGAAACAATAAAATAGCTGTCATTAGAGCAAAAGCCCCTAAGTCATCTTT